GTCTGTCTGTCTGTCTGTCTGTCTGTCTGTCTGTCTGTCTGTCTGTCTGTCTGTCTGTCTGTCTGTCTGTCTGTCTGTCTGTCTGTCTGTCTGTCACACTTGATATGCTATGTATGACATGACATGATTAGCACGGTAAGTACCATGAACAATTAAACACCAAAGGCGTATTATCGTTTGATTTCTGTGCATTGGGGTTCCTAGATGCGGTGGCAACAGTGGGTGGTGCATATAAGGCCATGTATGATATGAGTGGACGGTTTTTCTTTGGGATATATGGACATATCCATATATGTAGTACAATCAGGCTCTTCTTCTCGTTAGCGTAATTACGCAGCGTGTACATTCGCAGGTTCGTTGCCTTCGTACACTGCACTACCTACCTAGGTACACGACAACACCCCCCAACTCTCATCAGAAATATCTTACAAGCGAGTCCTCAATCCATCTCTTCCTCTTCCCCTTCCCCTATAACCCCCTCCCCCGCCACCCACCCTCAGAAATACCCCCGCACAATCCTCTCCCGATGCCTCCTCAACCCGTCTCTCCGCTCAACCATCTGCCCCAGCCTACTCTCCCTTAACATCCTCCACCCATCCCCTTCCCCATCCCCTCTCCCCTCATCATCCCCACCACCACCATCCCCCCTCAGCACCAACCCCGTATACCCAAACACAACCGCATCCAACCAGCCAGGCCGCGCCTTGCCCGAAAACCACTCCTCACCGCCCAGCCCACGCTCTAGCGCCTCAAACGCCTCGTCTGCGCGGGTGTAGATCTCTTCTGCGTCGATTATGCCGCCTTCCGTTGTGGATGTAGATGATGTAGAGGTGGTGGTGGTGGTGGATGATTTAAGGAGTTCGGCTGTTGCGGCGGCGCGTAATTGGTGGGAGAGCGCGGTGCGGATGAAGATGGATTGGGATGCGGGGGTGATGTAGAGGGGGTGGGTTAGGGAGGTGAAGAGTGGGGTGTGGTGGAGGGTGTAGAGCTGGTGGGTGGGTTAGTTAGTTAGTTTGTTTGTTTGTTTGTTCGGCAGTGATTGGGGTGGGATGGAAAGGGGGAGGGGGGAAAGGACGAACCCAGGCTCGGCGGATGGATGTCTCGACGAGGGAGATGTACGCCTCGTGTCGCGCATCATCTTCTCTCTTTTGCGCTGCTGCCGTAGGATCATCATTATCCTCGTCCTCGTTGTTATTGTTGCCGTCTGCCACCGCGCTATTCTCCTCCGCCCATCGCCGCAGCTTATTACTCGGCACGACACCACCACCACCGCTACTACTGCTACTATCTGTGTTGGATATCAAAAACGGCAGCGCGCCGGACGGACTGGCGTGGTTATTTGACGGCACGAGAACGACGGGGATCTGGAGAAAGGCGAGGTAGGCCTGCCATCGCAGACAGGAAGGATTGAAGCTGAGGCGATCGGTGGCAGCGGGGTTGATCCAGAGCCAGAGCGAAGGTGTTGATGGTGGTGCTGCGTCGGGTGTACTGCTGGGCGAGGAGGAGGAGGAGGAGGAGAGGCGTCGTCTGCGCCGGAGAAGGGATTGAGCGGCGCGCTGAGGCAGTGGGTTCGCGGGATATGTGTGGAGGGGCACGGCTTCGAAGAGGGTTTTGAGGGGGCCTGGGATGCGCCAGAAGGAGGTTGAACGGGGTTGTGATTGTGGTTGTGGATGTGGATGTGGTTGTGGTTTTGCGCGACTGGTGGCGGATGATTGGTGTTTCGGAAGGGAGGTAGAGGAAGTGGAGGACGCATCGCGGGAGGTGTTGTCGGTAGAGGTTTCTGGGTCTGTGGAGGTCGCCATAGTGGGCGGTATAGGACGAGATGAAGAGAGTGTTGTTTGATGCGGACTGAGTCTTGACAACGGACGCAATGATGCTTTGCGCTCACAGCTCTCTGCGACTTTTTTTTTGGCAGAGGTTGGACCCTGTCCCTGGCTCGTGCCTGGCTAACGCTCCCGGCCTCCCGGTCCCGGGCATGAGGACATTGGAATCAAAGAATACCTGCCAGTGGGCTCAAAGCTTCGTATACGCAATTCATGTTTCTTATTCAAGACACGAGCACGGTTGTATTCCAAGTATCAGTCTATAATACTATCTATACGCTCAACGCGATTGTGATTCATACACTACGATCAAGACATTACGTGTATACAAGAAAGTAAAAGCTACTAGAGCTTCAGACAAGGGTCTCGCAACATAGGAAATGGGACGTCGTGTCCATGTGTAGGTTGGAAAATATGGCTGGACTCGTCGAGTCAGATATAAATCGAAAATAGCGTCAAATGACTGAATTCCAGTGACTGCAATAGCCAAGTAGAGGGGTATATCAAATGGCCAACATCGCCGAAACAGAATGTGCTCAAGAGCAGGGCTCAAAAGTGCCGCAAAAAAGTTATGCGCGCAGAGCGAAATGTATCAAGTTGAAAACGCCTTCTGAGATGCGGGAATATATGCGGACAGCGTAAATGGATGCGACCTGCCGCGAACATGGGGTCATGTCGTAAACAAGCGTGATAGACTCCAGAAATTTTGTAGTGAACAGCCCACCAGTCGTTTACTGGTAGGTAAATAGATCGCCAAATATGTAGTGTGAATCGAAGGTAAAGTGGTTGTACGTGCAGACCCTCACATCATCATCATGAGTTTAGTGGTCCTCCGCTCTGGGAACCGGCGTGCACCCGTCCCGAGCATCGAAGTCTGGGATGCAGCGTGTTGAGCGTGGCGCTCACAATACGGCCTGCCGTTGAACTCGAGATAGTCGTCCTTGAGGGGAATGCGGCAGTGTGAGCACATGAAGCACCTCGGGTGGTATTTTCTCTTCTTGTCCGTCTCAAGGAACTGGCCCTCGATACCACGGTTGCAGAGTTGACAGAGTGAGTTGTTCATCTGGTGATAGTGATGCTCGCAGTAGGGTGCATTATTGTGAACGTAGAAGTCGGCCGTTTGGAATGGTTGCCGGCAGGTCTTGCAAGTGAAGCACTCCTTGTGCCAGCGACCAGTGAGACGACCATCGGCTGCTTTCACGGATTTGCCAACAATGGACTCGTTGCAACCGCGGCATTTGGGTCGTTTCCCACTCGTGGGTTTCCGTTGTAGTCCTTCATTTTGTGGTGGCAAAGGTAGAGTGACGTTTGGAGGTTGCCTTTTCGGAAGCTGAGCAGCATTACGCGAATCAAGTCGTGGAGGAAGTGCGCCGCGTGGCTGCAAAGCGGCGGGAGGCTGAGGATGAAAAGACTGAGGATTCTGGGGTGCCGAGTTTGGGACAAGGGGTGAAGGCCTAGCAGGAACCTCTTCAGGTGGAGATAGAGCAGGTGGTATTGGGTATGTGGCAGGGTTGACTGGTCGGCCACTTCCATTGGATACAGATGGTCGCTGCTGGCTTATGATTCCCCTATGAATGGCTGGGTCCATTGGAGATTCCGGAAGCTCCTCGACGGTTGCAGGTATCGCAGGAGGATTGGGAAGGGAGATGTTGTCCGGGGCATTCGTACGAACCACGCCTGGTTGCACTCCCAAAGGCAGTCTCTTAGGGGGCGAACCATAACTTGTTGGAGACTGCAATTGGCCCCGCGTCGGATCACTTTCTTTTCTTGCCCGGCTAATCTTTTCGGGACCTCCAGACTCGGATTCATGAATGCTGGATACAGAACTGACACTGCGTGCGTCAAATCCTGACATGGATCCACCAGAAGAAACTGATTCAGAGGATGTGTGCATTGAGCTTTCGGCGGGGCTATTCGGAGTAGGAATTTGTGAAGCTGGCGCAAGCTTGGTGACTGGAGCTCCAGGCTTCGAAGTTGCCAAGGAGTAAAGATTGTTCAGAGAGGGCATCGGAGGCACTGGAGGCGCTTCAATCGAGTCGGAAGAATACACAGAAGAGATTGTCGCGTTGCTTAATGCTCTTGAGCGCGCTGCAGGTTCCGATGGTCTTCTAGGTAAGGAAGCAGCCCGGTCCTCCTGAGCTGGCACCGGAAAGGTTTTGGAACGGTCAATCGTGTTCAAAGGCTTTGGAACATCCAAAGGCTCCTCATCGCGCACACGCCTGAGGAACTTGTCGATGCCTTCGAAAGGATGATCATCGTCATCATCGTCATCTGCCGGCGGCGGGGGTGGTGGTGGTGGTAGATTGAAACCTGCTTTCGGGCCATTTGGCAAGCCGGTGGAACGGACAGAGCTTCTTGAACGCCTTGAATTGTTCGAACCGGTAGAATGCGAGCGACTGCGTATACTTTTCGCAGGCGAATTGTGCTCGTCTGGTCCAGCTTGTGGGCTATCCACTCTTGTGTTATCCGTCGTGGTCGCTGAAGGTCTCCGATCAAAGCTCCCTTTCCTGCCATCGAAGGGGCCTGGTGAAATGTTGTCCATCCGCTTCAACACATTGGCGCCGCCGTCGAATCGTGGACTGACGGGTGCGTACATTGCATTGGACTGAGGCTGTGCCAGTCGGGTACCTGGATCGGTCGGCTTCCTGTCCCGCGGCCTGACGCCCGTTGGAGTATTACTTCGACTGCCCATCGTTGGCCATGGCGGGAAAGCGCAGTCGAGGTTCGAGTTGAGCTCCGGTGAAGGAGGGCTGTATGGTCGAGGCATAGGGCTGGTGACACTACGCATGGGAGTCTTGCGGCCGCTTCCTGAAATCATAGGAGAAACACTTCTCGAACCGCTGTAGTCGCTGACTGGCGTGATGGGCGCCATAGGTCTTGAGTATGGTTTGTCTGTAGTTGTTAGCAGCGCTTCATGATAGGGATATCCTCTCTACACACTAGCAGCGGCCGGGTCTATCTTCGGTGGTGCTTGTCTACCAGGACGCAAGAGACCGTAAGATTTGCGATTCGATGCAACGAACGAGTCCATGGTTTCTGAGCGAGGAACTGCCGGTCTGGCATGTGGAGGAGGTGGTGAGGGCTCATACGTTTCTGGCTCTATTGGTAGCGGGTTAGTTGTTTAGTTGATAGGCCAAGTTGTGAGCTGGCGGCTGGAATTACCTTCTGTAGTTTGCACACAGAGGTGGTCTGCCAGTCTGGAGATCTCAATCTCGATGCCGCAATCAGAGCACTTGATAGTCGGTAACGTGCTCGACGACCTTTCTTCATGAGTAGCAGCAGTAGGCGTAGGCGGTGCCGCGTTCCTCCATCTTCCTAAGCCCAGCATATTTGATTGCTCTGGTGTCGCGCACACAAGAAAAGAAAGTTGTTGCAGTATGAAGCATCCGAGAACGAGCGTGGCGAGAGCAGTTGAAGAAAGAGCTTAGGACAGGATGTGTAAGGAGGATCCCAGTAGGTATTAGATGTTTGTTTGGTCGATGGCGGTGGCGTGGACAGGGCTGGCCAGTGGGGAGAAATGGGCTCGCAGCTAAATTGAACAGGCCAGTATCCAATCAGATTGGGTTGAGGAGGAAATTTGGAGTAGATCAACCAGATTGCCGCCGTGATGGAGAATAGGATGATAGGGCTAGAGGTATTACCGGCACGCGCGCTGGCAAATGATGAACAGTGACGACAACGTGTCGGCGAATTGATGTAAGATTCGAGAGGAGTAGTAGATGGCAGGATGATTAGAAGTCGGAGTTGAAGAGAAGGAAAAGTAGGCGGTCGCAAGAAGAGTGAATGCAGCAGCTTAGTATTAGACTACTACATGACGGGCGCAAGGTGTGCAAGGTGCGCATGAGTGTATAGCAACAGTACAAGTATAGCTAAAGCAGTAGTAGACAGCTTCAACGGACGTGATTGGGTGCCTGAGGGGACAAAGTGGGGGTGTCTCGTGCTTAAACGAGCTTGACGGCCGATGGAGAGCTATCCGGATTTGGCACAACGATTCAGGTCGTTTTGCCTGTCTTGTCTGTCTTGTCTCTCTCTCTCTGACCCCTTAGGTATCTATCTGTTGCACTCCTTGCTTGACATCCATGACAGAAGTGTATATTATAACATCATCGAGTCAGTGTACCTGTTCCTCTCCACCATATAATTACGATACTAACTAATTATCACAAAAAGGTGGACAGTAGACATGTGCAGTGTGGTTGGTGCATGTGGCCGGACGGGCTGAGAGATGAAGATGGTCATGGCTGCCTCTGGATTGGTGTAATTGGTGACATGACCACGAGAAAGTAGGGAAGGTGCGATGGTGCATCATGTGTGTGTGTGTGTGTGTGTGCTGAGTGCCTGCCTGTTTGTGTGTGTGTGTGTGTGTGTGCCTGCCAGAGAAGTGTAAAGAAGAGTGCAGGTGCCAAGGTGAATTGTGCACAAAACAAGACCCACACGCTAAAATTGAGATTGAGAGCTGCGGGGCGCTAGACCCTTAGCCAATCCCGTACCCTCAACCCCTGGACCCATCCCCGAATAGGCATGGCGCCCCGGCTGCAGCTTGCAATGGCGCCACCTGCACCTGCCCCTTTCTGTCCCTGTCCTTGTCCCCGTTCCTGTTCGCTCCTTCCACCTTTTGCGCTGATTCCTTCCACCTTAGGCTGCAACTGCATTCACTCCACCCTCACAAGCCTTTGTTGTAGCGACATATAGTCACAATAGCTAGCATCTAGCTTGATGATGATATACATTCTTCATCTCACCACATCGTCATCTGCATCGTCATCGTCATCATCTTCATCTGAAAATCGACTTGATGACTGCTACACTACGATCGATCATCTCTGCCATCGGTATCGGTATGCTCGTCCACGTCAATCATCGTATGCATCACACGTGACCTCTTTGTTCGTAAGGGATCCGATCCGACACTCGCAACACCACTTGCGACTCTTTCTGTCAGAGTCAGACTGCACGCTGCCGGCCTGCCCATCAACTCCTCCATGGACCTCAACAACCCCAGGATAATCCCGAAATTCGTCACTCTAACATACAAAATTGAGCAATAAGCCGTATCTTATCACCCACGACCTTCAAATTTGCTGCTTATTATGACCGTAATAACTCGCATGGATAGATATGCATGGTATTATGAGCACCTTATGCATGGCCGTTTACATGGTCTATATATCCGTCAACCCAGTCCGTGCGTGCCTTGCCTGCGTGCATTCAGCCTCCGACGGTCCCCGGTCCCGGAACTGCCCTCACTGTCTGTCTCATTGTTCTAGGCTCGATACAATTACAGACTCAGAACTCACACAGTCGCTGCTCCTGAGGAACAACCAGTAGGTACCATTGACATATGATTACAGTAGATGGCAGGTGATTCGTCTTACAAGGGATCGCACTTGTCATGGTCACGTTGCTAGTCATGTTCGACCAGCGTTACTCTGATCGCGCCGTCGTGTCTTCCGTCCCTGCAGCAACAATTGAATGGATCAACAACCTATGGAAGATCCATTTCCGTCCTCTGGTCATGCAAGACTTGAAGACCGCCGGGTATAGCCGATCATCATACGCATATATCTCATCAACTTTTCCCACTTCTTGCCGAAATCATCATTGGGAGAACAAGATAGACTTTTGCTCTCGTCTGGTACACTAGACTTGATTGATTACCGTGCCGAGACTTCCACATCTCCCGAATCTCCCGACGCAAGAGTCTGCAAACTTTACCTCTCATCTCGAAAACATTCCGGCAGCTGGAGATCGACCGCTCATCCAACTCTCGAAATGACAACTAGCCACTTGGTACTGTACCATCAATTCTTCTCAACTCGACATGCAGGGACTTTAGCTAGTAGTGCTGTAGCGTTCGTTCCCCTCATTTCTCACAGGAAGCTCATACGCTACCAACGACCTAAACCCAACCATCTGTCTTTTAGGGGTTGCTGTGGTCAACCCGGTCTGGTGCTTATCCTGCTTCTTTCTCAACAGCCCCTGGGCATGTGCAAGCATGCTTGATGATTATAGAGAAAATGCACTTTTGTACTTTTCGCCGTCTCTCGGCAGCGCGGTTTTCAATTTCACGCAGGATATATATCATATGCTACGTCGGGCTTCACAACAGTGATTCGAGATTCGAGTGCTATGGCATGTGATCTACCCCGGATACACAGCTGGTTTATCACAAGACAATGATTTGCAGTGTCCGGCGGAGACTACGCGGCGTAAGTGAGTGATAGGTCGCGGGGTACAATGGCCAATGGCTCTATCTAATCATTCAAGTGCAAGCGCACCGCTCTCTACTAACGCTATCCTCAAGTCCGACCATATCGAGGTAAACGTACCGAGGAATGGATGCGTTATTATTTATGGAACGTTCTATGATTAGACTCTTATGTAACGTGTTATGCCTCCGGCGATATAAGGCTCGCTTCTTAGAGGCTAGAATACTAATATTATAGACACTAATCGTATATAAACTGGCGGTGTGTAGTACTAGTTGGAAGCCAGCAGCCGTGGGGTGCTTTATTGGATGGCGCCAGAGTCCCTTGGTCTTGGCGGATCCAAGGATCGCGGGGCAGGGTTGGTGGGGTTCGCTTTGTCTGTTTATAAAAGACTGTCGCCCGACCTCTTCCTCCTTTTCCCTTAACACTGAAATAGAATTGAAAGTCCGCGAATAGACACATACACAGTATCGTCCATCAGACTCCTTCATCGACCATAATACCCGCCCGTCTAGTCTCAGGGCCAACCACAGGCCCGCTGTCAAGACGTTTTCCAACCTCCTTAACTCGTGAGTACCTCCCTATCAAATATGGTCTACACACTCGTTCCCCTTTGGGAATTACGTGACGACTTAAACATCAAAGTCGATGCTCATCGTGTCCACAGCGTCCATCACCCGTTCGCCGGCCGACGCACCTCTCCTGCGGGGAGTTCGTCGGATTTACCCATATCCAAGTAAACCACTTTCGAGTACAAAGTTTACTACACTCGAACTATCTCAATATGGCACCTCACGCCGAAGCTGCTAACGGCCACGCGAACGGGAATGGATCCATCGTACCTGTACCTTCTCCCACGACCAACGATATCTTCGTCGTCAACTCTCCCAATGTCACCTACACCGAAACGGAGATCACCAGCAAGTACACCTACCGGACCACGGCCATCAGCACTGGAGCGGATGGCAAATTTGTCGCTACTCCAAAGGAGACAAAGTACGACTTCAAGACCGAACGCAAGGTCCCCAAGGTCGGCATGATGTTGGTCGGGTGGGGCGGCAACAACGGGACAACGGTCACCGCCGGTATCATTGCCAATCGCCGTGGGCTTGTCTGGGACACTCGTGAGGGACAGCAATCTGCCAACTACTATGGCTCCGTCATCATGGGCTCCACAATCAAGCTAGGCACAGACTCCAAGTCCGGCAAGGAGATCAACATTCCCTTTCATGATCTTCTGCCCATGGTCCACCCCAATGATCTTGCCATTGGCGGCTGGGACATTAGCGGCATGAACCTCTCTGATGCTATGGATCGCGCTCAGGTCCTCGAGCCGTCCCTCAAGAGCCTTGTCAAGAAGGAGATGGCCCAGATGAAGCCCCTCCCCAGTGTCTACTACCCGGACTTTATTGCGGCCAACCAGGAAGAGCGTGCCGACAATGTCCTTTCTGGCACCAAGGCCTGCAATGCACATGTCGAGCAGATCCGCAAGGACATCCGGTAGGTTTAAGCCAAACTTAGTAGTAGGACATCAGACATGCTAATCCTCTTCCAGTGACTTCAAGGCTGCCAATAACCTCGACAAGGTCATCGTCCAGTGGACTGCCAACACCGAACGTTACGCCGAGATTATTCCCGGTGTCAACGACACTGCGGACAATCTGCTCAAGGCCATCGAGCAGGGTCACGAGGAGGTGTCTCCTTCGACCGTGTTCGCGGTCGCATGTATCCTTGACAAGGTCCCGTTCATCAACGGATCGCCCCAGAACACGTTCGTGCCTGGCGCCATCGCACTTGCTGAGAAGCACGGTGCCTTTGTCGGTGGAGACGACTTCAAGTCTGGCCAGACCAAGATGAAGTCTGCACTGGTCGACTTCCTCATCAACGCCGGCATCAAGCTCACGTCGATTGCCAGCTACAACCACCTCGGAAACAACGACGGCATGAACCTGAGCTCCCACAAGCAGTTCCGCTCCAAGGAGATTTCCAAGTCCAACGTCGTCGACGACATGGTCGCAGCCAACACCGTCCTGTACAAGGAAGGCGAGCATCCCGACCACACGGTCGTCATCAAGTACATGCCCGCGGTCGGTGACAACAAGCGTGCGCTCGACGAGTACTACGCCGAGATCTTCATGGGCGGCCACCAGACGATCAGCATGTTCAACGTGTGCGAGGACTCGCTCCTCGCCTCGCCTCTGATTATCGATCTTGTCATTGTTGCCGAGATGATGACGCGTATCCAGTGGAAGGAAGAGGGCAAGGACTACGCCGGCTTCCACTCTGTGCTGAGTGTGCTGAGCTACATGCTCAAGGCGCCTCTCACGCCTCCTGGCACGCCTGTGGTCAATGCCCTGGCGAAGCAGCGCTCTGCCTTGACCAACATCTTCCGTGCCTGCGTTGGGCTGGAGCCGGAGAGCGACATGACGCTCGAGCACAAGCTCTTCTGAGCTGGGCGGGGGCATGTGCTGCGGTGACGAGACATGGGGTAGATGGGCATGTAGGTGCTGTGGTGACAAGACATGGGGTGGATTGAGGACGCACGCTGTAACCAACTATACACGCTCATTGATGCAATACAAGTAACTTGCCATGCATGAATTCCGTCAATGCCAAACGTGACATGACCTGGGCCCGTATAAAATACGATATATAATACACCACCATCTACCCCTTCCTCCCTATCTTACTTTTTGTCCTCCCCACCCTTCTTCTCCACTCCTCTCTCCACCCCCCTCTCCCCGCCCCCCTTGACCTTCACCCTCGCAATCCGCTCATCAACAATCGCAATCTCTGCATCCAGCCGCAGCATCTTCTCCTCCATCATCGCCACATACTCCCCATCCGACAGCGTGCGCAGGCCGGGCGTCCAGCGCGAGTCGGCGATTTGTTGGAGGATATTCCGTTCTTTGTTCGTTGTCGAGTCTGTTCCTTTCGTGGCTGTCGTGCCTGGCGTGGCTGTCGTGCCGTTCGTCGTGCTGGGCGGGGTAGTCGTTGTAGTCGTTCTATTACTGCTAGTAGTGTTGTTTGTGGTGTTGTTTGTGGTGGTGGTGGTGGTGGTGGTGTTGCTTGTAGTGTTGTTCGTAGTAGGCGCAGTAGAAGAAGAAGTAGTACCCCGCCCGCTCCTCCGAAAATCAACGACGCTCTGCCCAACCAACCCCAACGCGCCAAAGACAAGCATGCCAGGCAGCACATTGCGCGGGCCACGCGTTGAAGCGGCAGTCAGACCCCCTGCTGCTGCGCCGGCGAGGGAGCTTGCTTTTGCTGCTTCGGCGGTGCTGGTTTTTGGTGGGGGATGCATCTGCTGGGCTGTTGAATGCTGCGTTGGGGATGCGGATGGGTATGTGGATGGGTGTGTAGATGTAGATGGGGATGGAGATGGGGATGAGGGAGAGGAGAAGGGAGAGGAGAAGATAACACCACGATGCAGGTACGCGGTGCGGGTGAAGAGGAATGTGCTTGAGAGGAGGGACCATTGGAGGCCGGTGAGGGCGGCGAAGAGGGCTGGGTGGGCGGAGGTGAGGACGCCGAGGGTTGCGCCGGTGAGGGTGCCTGTTAGGGCTGGTTTTGGTTAGGGGGTTTGTTGGTTGTTTGTTTGTGTGAGAGAGGGGAGGGTGGAGGGGAGAATAGAAAGGGGGGGTGGGGGAGAAGGGATGGGATGGGATGGGGGACGAATGAATGAACGAATAGAAGAGAGATGAGAGATGAGAGATGACAGATGGTAGAAGTGCAGTGCAGACTCGACCATAACGCAATGAAAAGATTACAGTTCGAGAAGTCTCAACACCACATCCACCTATCCATCCCAATCCCACATGACAAACTCTCCCTCTCCCTCCTCTTAGCAAATAAAAACAACAAACTACTCAGGAAAAGAAGCGAGAAAGCGAAGAGAAGAAAGCGAAGAGAAGAAAGAAAAACCACATACCAGACCCAATCACCACCTGCGGAAACGGCGACGACGTGACGATATCAGCCACTCGTCGGATTCGCACGTCGTCGTCGTCGTCTGCTGTTCGTTGTCGCTGTTGTTGTTCTTCTTGACGACCAGCACCACCATCAGGACTACCAGCACCACCACCAGCACCTGCTTGATCCGTCATCGTCGAATCAGACTTAAGATTAAGATGAAATGATCAGATCAATTCGACAGGTCAATCCACAGGTCAAATCAACCCAGAATCAATCAATCAATCAACGACACAGAAGAACCAAGTCATCATATATCCCTGTCGTACCGTATCGTACCGTATCGTAGCGTTGTCAAGTCGCGTAATACAGCTGTTGAGAGAGAGAGAGAGAGAGAGAGAGAGAGAAGATAGATAAAGAAACCTGATCCCATACGCAGAATGAAGTTCAAGTAGTAGTCAAGCTCGAAGTATCGCAGTCCGCAAGCGTAGACCCACCCAACCCTAAGAAAACCCCAAGCCTTTAAAAAAAAGAAACCGCACTAACCCCAATCGATCCCCACACATCCACAATCCTCAGTGACTCATTAGCACACTGCATTCCAAGAACATAGACACCCTACACCACAGATCTCTCCATCATCAGGCAAGATGGCCGAGTTGGTTATGGCGCCAGGTTAAGGCTTACTCACCTTAACGCATTATTTCCTGGTCTCGAAAGGGGCGTGGGTTCAAGTCCCACTCTTGTCATTATTCTTTTTCTTTTTTTCTTTTTGTTTCTTGTCTGTCAACAATAAATAGTACGTAGTAGATACATAGATCAATAAATTCATCTTTGTCTTATCAAAGTAGAATCTCCACAAGCACGTCATGTCAGGTCACACACATCAAGCCACGTACGGTAGAAGATGATTGCCAGAAAGTATTAAGTGATTAGGCCGTGAAGCGGGTAATATTATAGTAGTCTTCAACACACAGGCGTGTAGCGATATTAATGCATAACTTCATAAATCATAACCCCATAGCCACACACCCAACCATGATGCATGCTCCATATCAACAAGCCATGACGTATGCTCCATCTCATCAAGCCATGATGCATGATCCACCTCAAGGAGGCCCCGCCTGGATCTAGTCTCTCGCAAGCAGCATGTCCTCATCAGGGTCATCCGTATCCTCCCAGCTGTGGGTAGTAGGGGCAGGACGTGTGGCGCGTGAGCGGGGCGGTGCTGGCTGTGACGCTCGTGCAGGACGGTCCGACAGCTTCGAGCGGGCTGAACCACGAGATTTAGGCTCAACAGCCGGCGCCGCCTTGGTCGCTGTGGCCGATCCCGTGCCTGTCGATCCATACTTCGGAAGACGGCCCCTGCTGAATGTATCTGAGGGAGACAGAGCGTGGCCGGTATCGTCGTCGCCGTGCTCCTCCAACAGATCGTCGTAGTTGAAGCTTTTGCGGGGACGCAGCTGGGTCAAGGGTGAATTTGTGCGTTCAAGATGCTCGCGGCGGCCGCGTGCGGTGCCGGCTTCAGAATCGAATATTAGATGCGGCTTGTAACTCCTCGCGCTCCTCGCCTTCCTCAACCTCGGTCGGTTCGCAGGAGGATCTGCTATACTCTCCACGTCCGAACTGACCTCGACGACACGGCTTCATGAATTAGCATACTGCGTGTCGGCGAAAAACCAAGAATGATAATAATAGTAGTCCTGTGCCAGGGCTGCTACTACTACCTCTCGACAACACCCTTGCCAACGGCGTAATCGTCTTCATCGTCAAGACCATCGACTGCTGTCACTGGCACGTTTTCTGGCTTGTGAATGCGTAGTAGCGACAGGAAGTAATCCTCAAGCGGTACGAGATTCAGGAGAATGCCATTCGAGTACCAGGCGATGCCGCAGACCATGGCCCCGGCAACGGCGTCGAGCACAAAGTGATTAGCCGTGGCGACGATGGCGAGAAGAATGGTCAGAGGATATGCGAGGCCAACTAGAACGCAGAGTACTCGGCGAACAGACGGCACGCTGGTCGACAGAGGGTACGATCTGACAGAAAAGTTAAAGTGCCGCGATTGTTGATGCTGGGGCGCCAGAGGGATGGTCATGACGGTCAGACCAATGAGCAGAGAGTAGCCAAAGTGGAGAGAAGGCATGGCGGCGTATTGGTTGCAGAACTTGTTCTGTGTCCAAACACTGCTTTCGCCACCTTCACCATGCACAGTGTCGACGAAACCGTAGCTGCGTGCTTCCTTGCCGATCGGTCCCTTGACATCCTTGTCGGACAGCAGACGGGGCGGCATGCAGGGCCACAGAGTAAAGACGATGAAGGCGATCAGGTTGCAGACGGCCATGGTGCGTCGCCGAGCTTCGTAGAGGAGAGGGCCTGCGGGACTGCCGTTGATCCTGTTTCCATCACGATGCTCCCGTCGGCTGTCGATCCGGTTAGAAGTAGTGGTGTAATAGAACAAGAATACGAGGAAGAGAATGGTGCCTGGGATGTGGATGAAGGAGTAGATTCTGTTGGTCCAGATCATAAGCAGTGGATGTTTCAGAAACCAATGCTGGACCGGCAGCTCCCAGAAGATGTGCAGCTTCTTCTCCAAATGGATGATTTGCAGGGCATGTTTACGAGCCACATCGACGGTCCCTTCGACGAGCGTCAAAGCGGTGATGGCTCGGCCGACCTGGTAAACCCAGTATATCAAGGCCCAGTACCAAACTTCAACCAGGAATGGAAGCTTCTGCAGCACTCTGCTCAAGAAAGTGTTTTTGTGTAGGCGAGTATTTGGCGAAGTGACCTCTTTCTGCCACGAAAACAGCCTCAGCTTCCTTGTGCGATACCTGGACTCTTGTGATGGCAGCAAAGAAGGTGAGATGGGGCGATTCTGCGGGTCTTCGAGAAGACCATCTTCAGAGTTTGGGCTCCGCAGGCCGGATTCGAGGTTGTCAGAGGAGTTGCGGCGAGAAGATGGCGCCTTCAGACTGAATCGGACAGAAGTATTGCGGTTCACCCAGGCACCGCCAAAGAGAAGCGTGACCACGACGAGTGGCTCGACAAAAGCACCGACGCCCATAGTGGATGGAAGAGTAGAGTGGACGAGTAAGAGCTGGAGGCGATGGAGGTATGTATGGGCGAAGAGGATATATGATGGACAGGATCGGGGCGTCGGAGGACTTGAGCAGTAACTGCGTACCGGGTGTCACGGTGAATGAGCAGACAAGGGTGGTGGGACGGACCAAAGGTGGAACAAAACGATGGGAGTGATGAGCGATGATGGTAGATATATGGAGACAAGGATATAGCGGGCGCTAAGGATGGGCCAGGGGTGGGTGCAGGAAGAAAGAGGGCGTGGGGATGATAGCTGTAGCTGATATGAGTGAGAGGTAGATGGCAAGTGTGTGTTGTGTTTTGCCGTTTGGTGGAAGAGAGGGAGTGAGATGTTTGTGAGGAGAAGGTTGGGCAGAGTGAGAGAGCGAGAGGAGAAGGGAGAGAGGAAGAGGAGTGAGAGGGAAGGTTTCGTGTTGGACAGGCAGTCGCGTAGGATTTATTGACGTTGAAGCTAACGAATACCAAGCAAGCAAGTAATGATGGATAATAGGTAATTACAGTCCAGTCAAAAACCAACAAAAGCGGTAACGCAAGGAGCGATGACAGCAAAGCAAATTACAGACAGTCGTCAGCAGCAGTAATTAGAGGATAGCTAGCAGTCGAGTCATAGAGAGGATTAGTGGTGACGGCATGTTGCGTGGTGGTGGTAAGGTTAAGCGTCAAGTGTGTGAAGTTGGCAGTGCTTGGAGAGAAGAGGCACGCGACCAATGGTGCAGCCGTCGAGATCCGCGGACCTGCGCCATTCATCCATCACCAACAAACATATCATCTAAAATAACATCCATCAACCGTATCCGGACGAACAACAAGTCCGAGTCTTCCTCAAGCCGTCCGCGTATATATACCCGTGGACAGGCAACAAGTGGTGTTGCAGCGTATGGAAGAGAGCAATCGTATAGAGATCGTATCCATGATCCGTGATCCGTGCCATCGTCTCTCGCATTCACCCGCAGTCTCTCGCATTCCTACCGTGTGTGGAGAGTCTCCAGTGTACGCTCCACAGTCCACAATTTACGCTCCACACCATCATCCACAACGCCCCACGGACCACGGATCACGGATCGGCCTCTCTTCCGTAGACCGAACGTATAGCTAACCCTCTATACGCGCATTACTGATTGTCACGACGCGAGGAATGCTCAACACGGTCCTGTCAGCAAACATCTGACCATTAAACATGGTCGTATTCGTATCTTCTTCTTCTTGTCTGCTTTTTGACGCCCGTTCTCTCGCTCACCGTCACTTTCTTCACAAAGGCGGAGAGAAGACGCAAGAAAGACCATGGGCACGCGACACACACACACCACACCACACCACCACCGCCAAATCCTCCCCCGCCTCGTCAGCGTTCAGTAGACCTCAGTAGGCCTTAAGTAGCCCCCACTAGTCCCCACTAGCGCCCATCTAGGCAAGGTAAATCCGTCATCATCCCGTCCAGTCTGCCAAGTAAGTAATTACAGTAGGTGCCAACTTGGAACCCACAAACCGGATCGCCCAATCTTACAGCCTTACTAAGCTCACTTTCCCAGCCTTTGCGCAAGGCTGCACTGCTGGTCAGACCTGCCATCCCCCCGATCATCCACAATCCCACAACCCGATCCAAAACCCGCTCTCCGTCGCCGTCGCCGTTCTCCATACTACGCTACACAAGTACGCCTCTACGCTACGCTACACTACACTACGTGCCCGTGCCCGCTACTCATACCCATACTGTACTACTCCGTCCATTATACCTTTTCCAAATCATAATTGCTGGTGTCCCCAATGTCGATGTGCAATCTCGCATCAGAGGGCTAATTGTCTTGTAATTAACGCTTGCTTCATTGAATTTATAGCTTGCTTACTGCCTAAGACGCTAGAAGAAGAAGAGAGACTGTTCTAGACCTTCTTTTGTTGTGTTAAGATTGAGCCTTGAGGTAATGATTAGGGATAGTGAGATAGGGAGTGCCAGTGAGTATTAGGGTGTACGTAGTAAGTGCTCACGTGCCTGCTTGCTTGCTGTTGGTGCCTTAGGTGTCTTTACACCTGCCGCTGCTTAGCTAAGTAGATACTGCTTGGCTTGCTTATATAAGCATTTGCATGTCACGTGTATCGTATATTCTTCTCTCTATTCACTACTCTGCATAACAGTCACTCTCCATCCAACCTCACGCCGTCCACTCGCTCACCTCAATCGTCCCCGCCATCTCCGTGCCGTCCCTCAGCCTCAGTCTGGGAAACCTCTCGCTTTCCCAAAAGCTCCCTCGCCCCGCCATCTTCTCCGTCAACGCTGAATTCACCAGCACCAACGCCCCGCTCGACCACCCCGCCGCACTCACACTGAGCGCAAAGTACGCCCCAAGCCCATCCTCATCCTCGCCATCACCATCACCGTCATCACCCCGTGCAAACCAATCCCAGTTCCTGCCCCGCCGCTCAACCCACTCACTCAGCTCCACAAGCCCCTTTCCTCGCGTCTTCAACACCTCCCGCCGCTCCTTCGACTCATCCGGATCTGCCCCGCCGCGACTCAGGAATTCAAGCCACTTCTGCTTCTCCGGCTCGAACCAGACCCGACGGCCCGTCTGGCGCGCTTCAGGGATGAGCTCTGCGTCGTGGTTGTTCAGCACGCCGCGGATAGTGCGAGACGGCTTGTTCCACCCACCTCCCAGTCCGAGAGCACCGCATGCCGATGGCTCCTTCCCGTACGACGTGATTGTGCCGTCGCTGTGGAGGGCGTGGAAATGGTAGTCGCCAAATGCGAGCTGTTGTACGCCCGACTGTTGGAGGGCGGGGATGAGGGCACTGGGAGGGACGGCGCACTGTGCGTGGGAGTACGAGTCGAGCCAATCTTGGTGGAGCACAGCGACGGAGCCGTTCATGAAGACTCCAAAGGAGCGGAATGAGCCTTGGACGTCGCAGGACGTCGGATAGGGGTTCGTGCTTCGGAGCGGCCTGAGTTCGAAGCTGTTGCCGACAACAATAGAAATGTTGTCCCATTCGACCCTGGAGGCAAAGATACGACCTATATCCGTGAGAAACACGACGTAGTTCTCTAGGCATACCCATGTCACGACAGAGCCGACAATTTCCTCTTCATCCTCCGTCTTCCACGCCGTCTGGCGATCGCTTTTCCTAGCTGACTCATAACTCGTCCATGGGACGGCCGTAGCATCGAGCACTACAGTATCAACCTCCGGGTCCGTATGTCCACGATGTACCCCCCACAAGAGGATACCGGCTCCGGTCACGTACGCTGAGCTGAAGTTCCAGCCCGCCATGACCTGTTTGACAGCTCCAGGCGCCGTGACCTTTCGATGTTCATATGTGTCTGCGTGAAGAAACTTCACTTGAAGTGCTGGCTCTGCATGAGACTTCCACGTCCAGATCCGACCCGAGTCTGAAAGCCCTAGAATATGATTCCTGCCTGACGAGAACTGCCGGATGGCTACGAGAGAGTTGTTCGGATTTTCTCTTCTCAGCGGATCTGGCACGGACGCAGGATACTTGAGTCTAGCAACAACTCCATCCACTGCATATTCCGCCGTCATCCCATCCAGCACCCCTGCCACGTAAAGTAATCCTCGAGAGGTAAGAAAGCTGGTCGACCATCCACCACACTGCATGTCAGCAATGATCCCAAGCTCCTTGATGTTGTTCATGGGCAGTGGTACTGGGTTGCAGCGTGCATGTCCTTGTCGGCCTAGACAGCCCCGATTTGACTTGCCCCAGGTGAAGACGCTGGTCTGCGTCTGTAGTCTGCGGTACAGCTTCTGCCATTTCCTGCCGTCGCCTTCGACTGCAGGTCGATTGGGCAGACGAAACTGTTCATGCGTCACGTGGCTCCAGTATCCAGCGTCCAGGCGTATGTTTGGGTCATGTAGAGCCTTGCAAGTGCTGCAGAGAGCTAAGAAGTCCCTGACGGTAAGGTCTTTAGTGATGATATCAAGTATCTCAACCGGGAGGATCGTGATAGACATTGTGACTGGTCGGGAAGTGAGAGAAGGAATAGTAGACCAAGCAGCAAGAAAGATTGTCGTGCTGCCTGGACAGTGATCCGGTACAGGAGCAGGAGTAGTATGAGTAGTTGCAATGTGACGTTAGGAAACAGAACTCGTGTTGTTGTTGACAAGCTATCCGGTAGTCGACAACCAAGTCATTTCGCTCATATATCAAGTAGAGCTAAATTTAGGTGCACGAAGTATAAAACCTGCATGCGTGAATTGATGTTTCAAGTTTCGTCGCCGCCATGACAGTAACGACGTAATGCTGGGCGTGATCATTGCATACCCTGCAGGCTGTAATGTACGCAAGGCGGGGTTGATCATCATCGTCAGCATCATCCGCCAGACAGGCGACCACTCTTTTGCAAGTACGCGTCCAAACTCATTTGCCATACCCGGTCCCAGCATGGTATGTTTCGAGCAAGATCTCGATTTCTACTTCCCAAGCTTACTATGATCAGCCGCCCAAACGCCGCGCTCCTCCACCAGCCGCCGCTGCGCCCAAGCCAGCACGCTCCAAACTCGCAAAGGAGAACAACATCACAGACGCACAGGTCCACGAGATCACAGAGGCCTTCAATCTCTTTGCGACAAGAGCGCCAATCGAACAGGCCGAGCATGACCATGATGAAGAGGACGCAGACGAGGTGCTCGGGACTGGACGGCGGCGGAGGAAAGGGAAGGGCAAGGCGAAAGAAGTAGAAGCCGAGGAAGCGCTCCGAAGAGAAGATGTACGACGGTGTCTGATGTGCGCACACTCCAGCCAGGACGAAAGATTGATGCAAGAAAACTGACGGTTGCCAGAGCACTCAACCTGAGCGTATCCTCGCGCGAACTGCCAGAGCTCTTCGAAACACTTGATCCCACCGAGACGGGATACATCACTTTCGGGCCTTTCCTTGCGTACGCAGCTCTACTGCTGAATAACCGGCCAGATGACGGGTCAGACGCCGAACAAGAAGAGGCACAGGACGAGGAAATCGAGCATGCTTGGCAATTATTCACCCATGGGCACGACGGGCCAATCACGATGGCGCATCTGAAGCTTGTGGCGAGGGAGCTGAAGGAGGAGGTTCCCGATGAGGTGTTGAAGGATATGATTCTGGTCGCGAATGGGGACCAGGGAAACAACGGGGTCAAAAAGGGAGTAAAGAGAGATGAGTTCGTGGGAGTCATGAGAAGGGCTGGTGTTTTTGGATGAAACCGCATCATTTCGAGCGTGGGCTTGTGTCATTCTGTGTTGGCGTTCTGGGAGCGAGACTACCATCGGCCTACGGTCATCCTTCAAGACGAAGATTGTGACATTCACGCAGGTGGCTCACCACAAACAAACGTCTGCTTAGCATTTCTGGAGCCTCGCCTACTTCGTCGCGCTAGCTTTGCCTGTCGACCAGCAGACGTCCATCTGCCACTCGAGCAGCTTCACCGTTTCCTTGATACCTTCCTCTATCAGCTGGGTTAGACTCAGCTTGCTAGCGTTCAATTGCAGATGCGAATGGTAGTCGTCCAGAACTAGCTTGTTGACGTTGACTTTCGTCACGCCGTGCCGTATACACTCGCGCATGGTTTCCTCGGAGAAGCTGTTCGTCCCGTGTAGCACGATCCGAACACGACCGGCGGCATGCTTGCGAAGGGCGTCGAGTCTGTCATGATGACGTTAGAGACGAGATTGAGAAAAGGAGCTGCTGACAGGCGCCAACAGATGGATGGACTGCCGTACCTATCGAACTCCAATTGCGGTCCCTTCGGCCCATACTCGCCGTGCACATTTCCAAACGCCGGCGCAAGAAAGTCGACGCCCGTACCGATGAACTCGTCAACTTCGTCAAGCGTCGTCAACATGCCCTCCAAGTCTGCAGTGTCCGCAATCCCGTCTTCCCCGCCCTCTATCCTCCCAGGCTCCGCTTCGGTTGCGATGCCGCGCTCCTTGCAATACCTCACCAGCTCCTTGGTCTTTGCAAGGTTCTCTTCTTTTTCGTAGTGGGACATGTCGACCATGATACTGTCAAACGGCAGCGTGTCAGCAGCGTACCGGATCAGTGCTTCATCTTGCGCGTGATCCAGATGAATCGATATGGGGACCGAAGCCTTGGATGCTGCGAGAGCGGCAGCGTGGACGATCAGGCCATCTGAGACTGTGATTGCCCATGGGAACATCTGTATGATCAACGGCGACCGTTTGCGCTCGGCGGCTTGGATGCACGCTATGATGTGCCCTATGTTGTAGCTTGTGCATTGGAATCAGTACCATGCTCGAAGGCGTCTAGTTGTATGGTAGGGGGAAGGGGTTGAAAGAGCAAGGCATACACAATAGGCGCAACGATGCCATAACCGCCGTCCTCTGCATCGCGCAGGATCTTCACGGTCTTGTTTCCCTTCAACGTCGGCGATTGAGGTGACATATCGGATAGTGGGTGTCCAATGAGGTGCGTAGGCGTTACGACCACACAGCTCCTAGCTTAGCTAAACCAGGAATAGTTGTAAAATAATAACTTCAATTCGACGTCTTGTCAAATGATCACTCCCACCATCCACAGCACAACAACATATGCAAGTCTCGAGGTTGATTTCAAATCAAACACCATTGGGACCAGCTGCTGGAAGAGTTCTTCCGGATAATTCAGGTTAAATGGGGGGAAAGTAAGACTCGACGACCTTTGAGGTCGGACATCTATCTGATCCACCCACAAAAAGCCTCCTCGTCTCGAGGCATCAAACACTGTACCCAAGTTCCGGGTTTAGATGCTTCATTGGTACTGGGCCGTACCGACGCATCGGGAGGCCTGCATGAAGACGCCTGTACTATTGATATAGGCGGCCGGAGTCGCTGGTTATATATGCCGCCATGCAGCAGCGACAGTGTTGTCCTCCACCGTCCACCATCCACCATCCCCTATTCCTCGAGCGAAAAAACCCGTCAAGATGGCATCCTCATCACTTCCTGACGCGCCTCCAGCCGCCTCATCAACCGCAACATCAACAACAACACCGACAACAACAGATCTCACCGTCATCCCAACCAACCCACAGAAGAAAATCTCGCTCGACGGGAAAATCATCGCCAGTACGTCTGCCGTCCATCCATCATCATCATCATGATCGTCATCATTCATCATCCCCCCAACCCTTTACCACACCGACCTCGCATCACCACCACAAGAAAAAACACCACACAGATCTCCCACCCCACCAAGCCCCCCTCCTAACCACCAAACCCCCCACCCCACAGTCACCGGCGCAAACAGAGGCATCGGCCTCGGCATCGCAGACTGCTGTCTCGCCAACGGCGCCACAGCCGTATACTCGCTCGACATCAGCGGCGTCGTGCCAGACACGGGCAACAACAGCAACAACAACAACAACAACAACAACAACAACAAAACCAACAACGACTTCGAAGCCGTAGCGGCGCGCTACCCAGGCCAGCTCCACGCCCTAACAGCAGACGTAACGCGCGAAGACGAACTCACGCGCGCAATCGACGAGATCATCGCGCGCGAGGGCCGCATCGACGGCGTGGTCGCGAATGCCGGCCGGACGATGCACAAGCCTGCGCTCGAATTCACGGCGGCGGATATCGAGGGGTTGTGGGGGGTAAATGTAGGGGGCCTTCCCTTTGTGTCAATTCTTTCATCATCTCAGTCCTTGTTCTCTCTCTCTCTCTCTCTCTCTCTCTCTCTCTCTTCGTGTCTTTTTTTGTCGCGCGTCATACTGACATGTAATCAAACACGTGTTAGCTTTACGGCTCGTTCTATGCTGCGCGCGTCGCGGCTCGCGCGTTTATCAGGCTTGGTATTGCTGGGTCTGTGGTCTTTACGGCGTCTATGGCGTCGCATAGGCCGAATAAGGTGGGTCTTTTGTGCGTTTTGTGATGGATAGACCGTTGGCACTGAGACTACACTACCTACCTACCTACCTACCTACCTACCTACCTACCCGTCACCATCAGTACCAAGAGTTCAGCAACTGATGCTAACCTCCTCCTCCGTACGACAGCGCGTCCCATCTGCGCCCTACGGTGCGTCGAAAGCGGGTACGTGTGGCCTCTACTCTACTCTACTCTACTCTACTCTACTCTACTCTACTCTACTCTACTCTACTCTACTCTACTTCCTTCCCCCTCAATCTCCTCCCCTAACCCACCACAGGAATCCGCAACATGACCAAAACCCTCGCGCTCGAATGGTCCCAGTACAACATCCGCGTCAACTCCGTCTCACCAGGGTACGTTGTTCCCCCATTATCCTCCCCCTCTCCCTTTTCCCCTCTCCTTTTTATCTCCCCCTATCCTCCCCTCCTCTCCCCTCCTCTCCCCAAAAATCTAACCGAAAAAAAAAAGCCTCGTAAAAACAGCAATGACATCCTGGGTCTCCCGCCAACCCGACTGGGCCACCCAGCTGCACTACTACGGCGGCCTGCCGCGACTGGCCAGCGTCGAGGAGGTCGGGAGTGCGTATGTGTACCTGCTCAGCGGGGCGGCCGGGTATGTGACGGGTGTGGATGTGCAGGTTAATGGGGGGATTGGGATTTGTTGATTTTTTGATTTTGTTTTGTATTGGGATTGGGGTTGTGGGGGGGGATTTGTTGGGAGGCGGACAATGGGGACAGATGTAGAGGGGACAGAGGGGAGTAGAGAAGGGGGAGGGGGGAAGGGGGTGGATCGATGACTATGTGAGCATGCAGCAGTGAGCACCGATGGAATGCTTCCTTGCCCCCCCTACCCCCTCCCCTGTTTATCCTTGGCACGCAAGACACGAAATGAGGAAAAGAAGACTACTGACGATATTGCGTTGTATAGGTAAGAAGAAAAGAATGTCGTACATACATACATACATGCATACAGAACAGCAAGCAGCGCAGCGAGTGCTCCCTCTCTCTCCCATGTTGCCTTTGTTGTTGTTCTCGCTTGTTGACACAGCAGAACGCATCGGCACTTGACAAGAAGAACGAAAGATCCAGCTTCTTCTTTTTCCTCATCCTCATCCTCCTCCTCCCTCAATTTTTGCCTTTCCACTCCCCTCATCCCAAGTCTCGTGAAAGATCAGACTTTTTTCGTGTACGGTTCGAACGATAACGAATGGAGAATCACGAAAAAACCCCCAAAAAACTCCCGCTTCCCCATCCCCCAAAAACAACCCGCCCAAAGATGTTCTATATTCGCAGGGAAAGTGCAAAAGAAAAGAGAAAGGAAAATACATGAAAACATAGACCCCGGGACGGTCGATCGGTAGGTTGCAACTTGCCTAGCTCTCAACAAGCCATATATACGTATATATCCTACAGTGTGTTCCTACAGTCGTTTTCTCAGTCATCTCTCAAGTCGTTTTCACCAGTCATCTCTCAAGTAGTCGTCTCCTGGAGTCGTTTCTCTCACAGTCATGCCCCATCATGTATTCATACCTCAAAACCAAAACCCCAGCGCTACACTGGCCCGCATATTCGGCCTATGGTAAGCATCCGGCAAGGAGAAGAAAGAAAAAAAAGACGCCAATGACTACACGCACCCACCATGACATGTGCCGGAGAGAAGTGGTATACGGAGCATCATGTGAAAAACGCCTTTGGCGCCCCGCACATGTCTTGTCACGACCGTGACATGCAAAGACCTTGTAACAAAGATCGATGGAGGACGACATTCGCCAATCAGAATGAAGATGCATCGTTTTCTTGTGGACATCCCGAAACGCCAAAAAGTGAGACCCGCCCACATCTCAACATAGGAAAAGAAGAGAAGGCAATATGTACGTATCTTCCTTGCTGACGTCGCTTCGAAAGGCTGAGTAAGGGACAGGGAACGGGAGAAACGTTTGTTGTATAGAGAAGTTGTCCGGTTGGGCAGAGCCATGTCAGTGCATGGCCATCTTCGCATCTTGCAACGGGCCCGACGACACCATGCTCATGTCAAAGTATCTGTCAGGCAGGATATCGCTCTCGTCAGGGGGAGTCGGAAACATGCTGGCATTGCAAGGTCAGCCAACGAGCGCTAACGAACGGTCAAAGTCCGAACAGAGCCCGCAAACCACATCTTGCAAGAACAACAAACCCAGAAGGAGTACAAGACTACTACTTACAAAGGACCCTGACATGACCACTCCATGCGCAGCTCCTCGTTGAGCTGGATGACCGGCCACCCGGTGCGATCTTGGTGTTCCTCAATCATCTTGCAGAGGGCAGCCTGCTTGGACGGGTCGGAGGTGTAGAGAGCGGCGCAGTATAAAGCTTGCGTGGAGAGGATGGTGGCAGCGTGGTCCTTGATCGTCATGGCGATGCCGCCGATAACGTCGATTGACTCTGCAATGGTACTGTTGCGATTCGAGTATTCCAGATAACCACCTGGTGCAGGGCGGTGGATCATGAGGAGGATACGAGCAAAATGGTAGTATTGCATGGCGCAAGCTGAGGGTGCGGTCAGTAAAGAGCATGGAAGATATGACTGGAGGGTTTGGGAAAGCTACCAAATGGAGATGGGTTGATCCAGTGGATCTGGAAGGCCGCGTCACTGTTGGAACTCTTCGGGATGGGCAGCTCTTGGAAGTGGATGGACAAGTGCCTCTTCCAGTCATCCAGCATATTCAACAGGGTGTCAGCATTGTCCATGCGTTGTTGCACATTGGCCTCGCCAGCCTTGCGCTCCTCCTCAGAGGCGTAATTCACAGCTTGGGCAGCGAGGTACACGACACGATTCGCAATCTCGTATTGGTTCATCATGGAGTAAGACTTCTTGGGCCTCCAGAAAGAGAAGCACTTTCTCCGCTCGCGGAAGGCCGCCCAGATATCCTGACGCAACCACGCCCACCAGACGGCCTGTCGCAACCCACCTGACTCACCATGGTTCTCCTGCGATCGCTGGATCCAAAAGACGCCCTTAAGATGGCGCTCCCAGGACTTGCCGGCGCCGTCAATCATCTCGTACGCCGAAACAATGAGGGCAGTAGCGATGATGTCGGGGCTGCGCGTGTAGGACTCGTACTTCATGGCACGCTGGAGATACTGCAGAGTCTCGGAATAATACTGCACAGCCTCGGTGCGATCGGGCCTAACGTTGCAGTCCTGAGGCTTGATAGAGAGATGGCGGGCAGCAAGGGCCAGAATGGCTTTCATGAGACCTTCATTGGACAGGGCAAGCTGGGGTACCATGGTCGAGAAATGCTTCAAGGGATCGTAGAGGTCAAGCCACAAGCTTAGATGGTTGACGAATGTGCTGAAGAGGCAGATCTGATGATCAGTGAGGGTGATGGGGGCCTGCCACAGCTCACGTTCGTCGCCATTCGGCACTGAGCTTCGAGGAGCCATCGAGGGCATCAACGACGGCGGCAGGCCAAGGTGTGGCGAGTTCAAGTGTGACATCTGGGGCGTGGGATATCCACTGTCGGTATCTGGCAAACTTGCTCTGGCGGTTGGGCTGTTGCTGGCACTTTGAGCCTGTAGCCGCATCATCTCATTCCGTCTAGCCGTGAAATAGTCGTTGTCATCGAATGGACAGTCCTCGGCCAGCAGGCCAAACCAGCGATGCGGCTCGAGGACGCTGGAGACAGGAGTCGAATCTTGGGAGTCGCCATAGCTTGTTGCTGCTGCTGTTGTTGTTTGATTCCACGGGAGCTGTCCTAGGTCGGGCTCACTGCCTGGACTATGACGTTGCTTGTTCTGGGCCCAGTGCTGTGTTGGAAGGGTGGACAGGGCAGGAATAGTTTGTAGACGTGCATCGAGAGCGGACTGTGGATATGGAGTGTTGTTTGAGGGAGCTGACGATCTTAACGGAAGTGGTTGTTGCCAGGTTGTGGAGGGAGGCAGACGTCCAGATTGAGTTCGGGAGGGTGGTTCAACGTCACTTGTGCCTGAGCCCGCAGTGCTACACGGAGACTGTACGGAAAGGTCAATATCACCGCTTTATATGCCACCCGATTCGAGAGAGGCCTGATGCCCCCCCAGTCAGAGAGGCCTGCCTTGTCTCAGGGCTCATCCGTTCACAACCGCAAAGCTTGCTTGTTTGCTTGCTTGCTTACAGATTGATGTCGTGCAGATGGATTGTTTTATGGCTTTGGGGGGGTTCAACAAGCTCAAGCTCCAGGTCCTTGCACTGAATGGAGAAGGAAAGAAAGGAAGTGTTTATCCCACGTACTTTTGCATGTCCGTATACACAGTCGCGGTTACCTTTTGCACAGGGCCCGCACACAGGCTTGACTTCGTCGCATTTCATATGCCTGCGTCTACATACCGCACTGAGTCGTCATATGTGAGCCACCTGAGCAAGCAAGCACGCGCACCGGAAGAGTTTATACGGGAGTCATGTCATCTCCAGTTTTCGAGGGGGCGCAAGAAAAAAAAAGCTGGAGCGCGCATGATGCTGTTGCAAGGTACGGTACTGAGCAATGCTTACCAGCCTGTTGTGGTACGAAGTCCCCGACCTCTTGGTTTACGGGGCTTCCGTTGCCCATTCAGCCCAGATTTGTGAGACTCTTCTTGAGTGGGTGTGAGAATCATCGTGTCGAGGGGTAGGTGGAGCACGTGAGAGTGTGAGAGAGAGGGTGGGAGAGTGAGATATTGTGTATGAGTATGTGTGTATGTGTGTATGTGTGTGAGTAGTGTGCGTGAGTGAGGTGAAGGAACAGAAGCAGCTCGTTACCGTTACGAGGGAAAAGGCGAGGTTGAAGAGAATGAGTAGTCGGTGAACAGGGCGTTTGGAGGAGGAGAAGAATCAGGACGAGTCGACAAAGGCGATTCAGAGGGTGGAAGAATGAATGAATCAAAAGGTTGGACGCTACAGGCTTGAAGAGCAGTAGAGGAGAGCGGATCCATACTGAAGTTCGCGAAGGCGAGCGAGTCATAGTTTTTAATGGCAAACATTTTGAACGTTCGTCAATGGAGGCGGCATAGTGGATGCATAGTTGCGTGGATGGAGCTTGTTTTGGCTGAGTGGGGGAAAGGAGGAGAGGGGGGG